TTCATAATTAGTGTTTGACCCATAGAGTTACACCTTTTATGCCTTCTCCTCTTTTATCAGTAGTTCAAAATTAGTGAAAGTGGAAAATAGCCTTAGGCAGTAGTTTTGCAATAACAAAGACAGGGCAAGCAAGTTTATTGGCATTGGGAATCGAACCTAAGACCCTCAAATCACGAGACTCCCCCCCCCCCCCAACTGTGTAGCTTTATTCTAAACAAATATAATGGCAATATTTCAGTTATTTGTTTCAAAAACAGTAATAATCAGAAATATTAATTTTGATTAATTGATTATTTCCATGACAATAATAAATTTAGTCAATATAATAATTGCTCATGGGTAATCAGTTAAACTGCTCAGCTCTATTCAACAACATTAATTATCAGTTAAGATTAAGCTCTTAAATAAAATGTTTAGAGTTATTTTTAAAATTATTAAAAAGTGAAAAATTTTCCAGAAAAGAAAGAATTTGATTCACAACTGCAGTTACAGTGTGTGTGTATATATATAATTTATTTTAGCTCTATTTTGGTATTATGTTGTAAAAGAAGTAACTTTCCAGAAATATCTTCTAAGTAGCACAATATTATACACAATGTCTGTTTGTATGTTCATTTAAGTTATACAACTAATTTAAACATACAAGAAGAATACAGAAAGACTTTTGTACATATTCTCTTTTCTTTTGAGCTCTTGGTGATAATAAATATAATTTTATTCTAGCCAATGAATATTCCCTTGAAAGATCATACCAGGAATTAAATTTATTTACAAGTTTTTATGATATTTATAAAGATGTTGGGAGAATACGAACAACTTTAATTGATTAGTTTATAAAATGATAATCTTAAATTCTTTCAGCTAAATGAAAAAAAATTCTGTGAATTTAGTGTATGTTTCTTTGAAGTTTATGATATAAGTATTTAAAACAGTGCTATAACTATTCTGAAGGATTTTTAGCACTACTATACATTTATTTTAGATACATATTTTCTGTGACTGAGACTGATTTTCTTGTATGGGTGTGGTTTAACTTTTAGGTCTACAGATGATTGGAGATGGGTCAAAGAGCAACCCCTTGGACTCTCTCATGGAAAAGTTACGGGTAAAGGCTAACCATTATAAACAGTGGGCTGATATGAGTAAAGCTCTTCGTATGGCTGTAATGGTAAGCATATTCTTAATAATACTATTATATGAATAGCCACTTACTACATAAAATCGTGTGAAGTTTAAATCTTTCTGGACTGGAGGGGTGTACTGTTCTCTCCTGATTTTTTTTTTCTTTCTCACAATAGAAACACTTAAGCAACTTGTATGAAACAAGACTTGGAAAATTAAGTTCTCAAGACATGATGGTTTTATAGTGAATGTACTTCTTTGCTCTCATATGGGCAGAAAAAAAAGTGCTTTGGAGCTGCACTGAAAAAATGTTGATACGTTTTTTCCTTTTTCTTTGTAAGTTACTCTAAACAAGTGTTACAGAATGACAAAATGTCAATTATAAAGTATTTTTGAAGTAAAAGGTATTGAAATAGAGTTAGAATTCTTATTTTTATTTCAAATTTGATATGCGGGTGTGTATGTTTATACTCAACACCTTAAATGTGGCCTAAATTAGAGTTGTGATTAGTAGTATTTGGTTAAAAAAAAAAGGTTGTCAGTGGGTACTTCAAGCTAGTTGCCATTTCTCTAGTTTATTCCCATCTAACGTCAATAATAACAACAACAAAATAAAATGATGGCAGTTACTGCTAATTAGATGCCTTCTCTCTAGTTAGTAGTTCCACAACAACAACAAACAAACAAAAAATGTTGGCTGGCAGTGGGATCTGTATAGGGTTAATTAGGATGTTATTATTAACTGTAAATGTGACATTCAGACAGGACTCCGTGGTAATCATTTTTATACTTCTAATGTTATTTGGTGAAGAAAAGATTCTTATAAAGTTTATTTCTATAGCAGTAATGATAGTAATTTTACTAGCAAAAAGGTGATGTTTTTTATTTTTTATTTTCCTAAAGTTAATTTTACGAACAAAAGGTTGATGTAGTATTTTTGTTGCATTTATCATTTAGTGGCAGTTTATGCCGCTTTTCAAAGTAAATAATGATAAGGGAAAATAGACAAATTTGGTTGTGCAATTGATATATCACTGTAATTTTTTTTTACATGTATAATGACACTTAGCAGTCTTTTACATGTCCAAATTCTGATGGCTATAGCTATGATATTTAAAACCTTTTTGTAGTGAAATTAATCTGTAATACCTTAAAGACTTCATCTCTTTAATATTATTTTAGATTTAGGTTTTTGCTACTTTCAATATATCATTACACTTAATTTTTATTCCAAATTCTAGAATCATTCTTTTAAATTTCTCTGAAATGTAATTTTTATTTTTGTATTTTCAGAAGTATATGACATTAATTAATCTAACCATTGACTATTACCCATTCTTTTCCAGCTATATGTCAGTTTTGTTACTTTTATTTAGCTCCTTTACTTCTAGGAGAAATGATCATGCAGAATTGGTGACTTTGTATCAGACAACTTGTACTATATTTTAATTCATTCTGTTTACTTTGTGAATGAATTGCTGAACCAAGTTCATGTGTTTCTGTCCACTTTATTTAAACTTTGTGTGAAATAAAGGTACATTGAAGAGTGAGAAATACTCCTAACACAGCGGATAAAACCATGGAACTCCTATTGTAATAATTACTGAAACTTTCTATTTGTATTTAAAACATGTGTCACTGCCTAGAAAGAATTAACTTATTTGTTTTGTTAGATAAAATTGGATCAGATTACATTTGAGCTATGTTGTTTTCTTTATGAAGTTAATTAATATTAAATTCTGATTACAAACAGAAGAACTGTATAAACAGCAAGGTAGTCTTCTTGATCCCAGAGCAGGTCACATAAAGATTACTCAACAGAAGAAGACTACAGAATTAATCAATATTAAGTTCTAATTATATACAGAAGAACTGTATAAACAGCAAGGTAGTCTTCTTGATCCCAGAGCAGGCCACATAAAGATTACTCAACAGAAGAAAATTACAGAATTAATCAATATTAAGTTCTAATTATATACAGAAGAACTGTATAAATAGCAAGGTAGTCTTCTTGATCCCAGAGCAGGCCACATAAAGATTACTCAACAGAAGAAGACTACAGAATTAATCAATATCAAGTTCTGAGTATATACAGAAGAACTGTATAAACAGCAAGGTAGTCTTCTTGATCCCAGAGCAGGCCACATAAAGATTACCCAACAGAAGAAGACTACAGAATTAATCAATATTAAGTTCTAATTATATACAGAAGAACTGTATAAATAGCATGGTGGTAGTCTTGATCCTCAAGCAGGTTGTGTAACCATGATTCATTAGAAGATTACAATAGTGAAGGATATTAACTTCTGATCATACTTCTTGCTTGACACATTAAATATTTTGAAGAATAGTTGAAAAAGAGCCCATAATATAACTATTTTTTACACTTTTATAAACAAATAGTGGGAACATACCTTTTTTTTTTCTCAGAGCGATTCCATACAAACATAATCGTACTTGTTTTTTATAGTTAGCATAACCTCTTGTAATGGGACACTTAGAGAACTGGAATCATTTTGGTGATTCTGCTTCAAAGGAGTAATGAGTAAAATGGCTGTAACAGTTTGTTTAACCCAATAAGCTTGTGTTTCTTTATAGCTGTTTTTAGCAAGATGTGTAAGGATTTACAACATTTTTATTACTTAAATGAATTTGTGGTGGTTTTTGTTTATTTTAGCAAAAAGGATTTTTCTTACAGTGCAAAAAGCCAAAGTAAGCAAAGCATTGAAACTCATGAGGTCTAATATTTACAATTACAAATTATGATATACTGCATATTTTATTACACACTTTTCTTAGCTAGTCCATTGTTAAAATCATGTGTGTTTTAAATAGTAGTTCAGTTCCATTTTTTGTTGCCACAATTTGCTGCTCAATGACTGTTATTAATTGCCAGCTTTTCTGAATTTTCTAACACAACTGTGAGTTTTTGTTTTGTACATAAACAGTATGTTAGTTGCTGTTGGTAAAGTTTTGTGTCTTTATGAAAGTTTAGTTTGTTTATTGATGCATATACAGCATTATCATTAACTAGTTTCTCTAAATTAGTTAGTTGATTTTAGGAAAAGTTATTGTTTTTTGTTAGATAACAAGATCCTTCTCTCTCACTGGTAGTTTTGAACCTGTTTATTATTTTGTAATTCTAATATAGGTATCAAGACCTTTCCCTATCTTTGAGATTTATTTTTTCAGTTGGTGTGTAGTATAGTAGGCCCTAATGTTAGAAAAATGAATGAGAGCTGTAAAAAGCCCACTCTAAACAGTATTTTGGTGCTGTTAGTTGGCTAATTGACTGAACTGCAATGTTTTTCAGTTAAAAATGAATCTGTGGTCATGTTTCTAGAGCAAAGTAAGACTAAGAAGAAAATATAAGGTTTGATACATTAATTTGAAGAATAAACAAAATAACAATGAATAAAAGTTGTATATCCAGTAAAGTTGGAAAAAATTGTAATGAAATAATCTCCTTAAAGTCTGGCACAAAAAATCTTGACTAAAAACAAATGATAACTGTTTAAGAGTAAAATGGTAGGAAATAAATAAATAGTTTCACTATTTGCTCAAAAAATTAAAAGTCACAAACTTGCATAAACACACATCTCATAAAAATATTGAGCTAATTTGAAGTAAATCTACTTTGCATAATCATTTGTGTGAAACCAAGATCCTTTGTTCCGTTTGTGTTCAACTGTTAGCTAGTGGAGCATATTCAATCATTAGCCTCACACATATTGTGCAGGAGAATCACATCCATCAGCTATGTCAATATCAAATGATTCCATTGCAACCAGTTCTTGAGAAAGAATTTAACCTGCTTATCTTGATCTACTAAACATGTTAGAATCATAATCATCCTCATCATGATCTCCATAATCACTTAAATCTTCATCACCAACAGAATCAATTTCAGTTTCATTGTACATGTCTGACTGCCATTTTTGGTTGCACATTCTTTAGACATGTTAGAAGGGTTTGTATCAAATTTCATTTTCCTAGTTTTTTTATTATAGATGTCTCCAAATCTGTTTTTAATATACATTCCTTTTCTTCATGTGCCCATACAAAATCATTTGTTTTAATCAATAGAAGGTTGCATGTTTTAAACTAAGTTTTTTTGTCAGTGAGCATGTGGGTTAGGTGGCTAAACCCTTCCTCAACAACACTATTACTGGTCTCTATGTAGACCAATATTTCCACAAGAATACAAACATTTTGTTCCTTCCTTCTGTATAGATGCACAAGCTCCCTGGCATCCTTAGTTTTAATTCCATTCATTTAGTACTTAAACATTCTCTTGAATTCCTTCCTTTCTGAACTTATCTTAGTTTTGTCAAATTTGTTTATTTTTAGTGTCTCATAAAAATGCTCTGCAAGTAAATTTAAACACTCAATTTTTCTGATGGTGTTACCAAGTTTGCTGGATCTATCCAAAACAGACTTTGATAAAGTTCCCTCTCAAATGAGGAGAATCTTGATTGAAGACAAGCCTGTACACTTGGAATGACTATAATTCACAGTTTTCTCAGCACAGTCCACTGTAAAGCATTCCCCATTTTTTATTTTTCTGTTGTCCTGTTTTAAAGTAAGTGCTCTTAAGTTGCCAGGAACCTGATTTCATTTTCAATTCAAGTTTGAACTTTATCCAAAGATTTTCATAATGTGTACCCGAAATTTCTTTGCTGAGTTCCTGTAAGGCTTCCTTTGCTTTTCTACCATAGGCAGTATCTGATAGCATAAAATATTTCATTTTTCAAACTGGGCAAACAGAACAACCATCCAGTACATCTTTGTACAAATAACATTTTGACAGTAAAATCGTTCGACTGTTTTTAAGAGTCCATGAAATTTAGCTGAAACCACTCTCCTTGCAACTGACAAGGTAATTCTCTATTGCTCGAACTTTAGAATCAAAATCAATATTCTTGTGTACTGGCTGAAAAAATGACGCTAGTTGATGATACAGGCTGTATGCTATTGTAATGACAAGCAATGCAGGGATATCATTATAATTTGAGTAATGAGTTCAGAAATGTGTTATGGACATACCTAAAGCAATTTTGTGTGTTTTGTAATTTAAAAGGTGAGTGACAGTGTATCTGTTATGAATTCAATGCCATATATATATATTTGTCCGCCTCTTGCTGACCACACCCTTTCACTTCTTTTCAGATATTTTCCCTGTATTTAGCACAAAGCTTGCACCAAATTTTTGTAACAGTGTATCTTCCTAAGGTGTTCCTTTGAAGAATAAATTCCAGTTTGTCCACTGAGATTCTATTTTTTGAATGTTGACAACAAAGTAGTTTCACTGGCTAAACTGAGACTGTTTGAATTTGGAAGTGGAACCAGAACTGAACTAGGATGATCATTGATCAGTATGACAGCCCTTGTGGCCTTCTGTCATGCAAAAATCAAAATAGTTCATCAAATGCAATTTAGGTAGTGACCAAATTTGTTAATTAACGCTCTTCTTGCTGTTCTGAATTTGCTAATAATTAATAATCAATTTTGTAATTTTAACTTGAATATACTGACATAATTTCTCAGTTACAAATACTGGATGTCTATATAAAACAACACTGTAGTTCAAAAATATCATATTATTGTGTGTATAACATCACTAGACCAATTAAAATTAAAGTACAGAAGTTGTAGCAACCAATAGGGTCACATGAAGTTATCTCTGAGATTGTTCAGTGTAAACAAGCAAGAGCTGATTTTGTGAATGGCAAGCATCATGACAGACTTGACAAGGGCTCTGATAAGCCCTCACAAAACCCATATTCGATATGCTTATTAGTGTTGGTGTGATGATGCTCATTAGACTTGAAGGCCTCTTATAGAGTATTAATTTTGATTTCATTAATACTTTTTTATTCATTATTTTGTTGGTATTTGTGTGCATATTTATATCAACCGCACAGCAGAAGTTTTCATAATAAGTTAAATTACCTGCATATAGTTTTATGCCAGTTTCTCACCCTTTGAACATCTGAAAAAAAAACTAGATGAACCAAATTATTTTTCTGCCAAGCAATTCTCTTTTTCTTATACAATATATACTTGGTAAATAATTAGGAGTTATTTGTTATTAGGTTGCAACTTAAATCTTAAACAAAGTACTAGTTTGACTATATAAAGTGTTACATGTGCAACAAATTATATCTAAATAGTATAAAAGCTTGTCAAAAATGATGGGAAAACACTGTTGAATGATTAACAAAAACTATAGAATTTAACTAAAATTAATTTGTCTGTACTTCCAAAATGCACTTATTCTTCAGTTTCTAAGTAATTCTTTAATCACCACATTTTTAGTAAAAACTACACTGAAAAAATTAAATTGTTCTCATGAATAAAAGTATGTATGCACTCTGGAAGAGACTTAATAGCATTCTTGAGCCTTTTCACTGTATTTTAGGTCAAGAAGCAGAAAACATAGTGTGGACATTTGGAAACAAATTTTCAACTTTTTTGACTGTACAAAAGATAAAAGATATTTGGTAGTAATAAACATTCATTTTTTCTTTGTTTTAAGGCTAAGTAGGTAATATATGTGTTAAAATACCAAAATAATATTTATTAATTAGCATTTATTCACCACTTAAAACTTTTTAAAAACACTTACTATAATTTTAGTAACAGTAGGCCTATTTGTAGTCTAATTTAAGTAGTCTAGTTGTAGTCTAATACATAAATGTAACTTAAGGCTTAGCTGAAACACTACTTGGACATTTTATTTCACTTTTGGCTACAACTCAATGTAATTAAACTTCTGAAATAAACTATTTTACTGTTTTATATCACCAAAGTTATCAAAAAATAAATCATCATGAATATTGAGCATTCAACATAAACACCATAGTTGGCCTAAGAACAATCAGGTGATAGTTTTGTTGCTAAGTGATGATGTATATTATTGAACATTACCAAAAAAGGAGCCTGAAAGCATTCTTGACAGATTCTTGACAAAAGCCTTTTATAGTTAGTGATGACAACAGGTATTTTTAAAATGAGGTTGTTTATCATATTTTTTATTGTAATTCTTTGTAGTTTATGCTGCATTTGTTTTTCTTATTTCTACCATAGTGTATGTTTTTTTGTTCTTTTGACTCCCCTTCATATAAGTGATTCATCTTTTGCAACTTAGAACAAATTTGAAATCCTTAATTTCTAGTTCTAATATGCTTTTGCTTGCACATGTTTCTCTTAACAACCATTTTCAGACCACTCTTTAATTGTTGATACCCTGTTTGAAGTACAGTAAGTTAAGTGTTTGTTCAGTAAAAATTGTAGCAGTGTTATGTAATGATACATTCACATTTTATGTATTTCAATAGTATTACATCAATTTATACCTTTCAGTTAAGTTTTACTATAGATGATCAAAGCCCTTATGAATTAAAGTGTGTGAATAGAATAAAGACTTAGATTTTACTTATTTTGTAAACATATTTGAATAGTATGTTTTATGCTGTAAATATCGGTGCTTATGCAACACCAAAATAATTGTGCCCAAGTAAAACTTTTTATTAAAGAATGTGAAGGTTCTGCTTGGTATTATTGAGAGAAGTCTGCATATTGATTAAAACTATCTTCTGATATGATTATTTTTTCTTTGTTTATTGATCAGGACAAGAGACACGTGATGGATAATGTTGAGCGGAACCAGTTACAGAAGTGTTTAGATACCATTCAGAAGTCAATTAAAGGTAGTGTATTGTTCATTAACACTCACTGAATCTTTTTGATGATTTATATGTTTTGTTTTATTTAAAGTAAGAATGTTGATTTTCACATGTATGTTATATATATTTGTCAAATTGATAAGAACTTGCAAATAATTTTGAAAATTTGTGCTTTGTATAAATGACATAAGTTAGCTAAGTAGATAGAATTGTCAGCTTTTATTTGATTTCAGACCAGCTGATAAGTAATAATAAGTACCGTATTTTTTGGAATATAAGACGCGCTCTTATTTTGAAGACAAAGTTTTGGGAAAAACTTTACTATACTAACTTTACTAACTCTATTACTATAATTAATTTTTT